GGAGGCTGGAGATAAAGGGGGGCCAGGCTAATCTGGGGCCACTGTGAGTGGGGGAGCCAGGTTTCAAGAAAATAGGAGAAAAGGACCCCGATTTTGGTAATTAGCAGGTTATCCGGTGACCTTGGGATGGACAGCCCCAGCTGAGTGCTTTGGAGCTCTCAGCTGAGTATGATGGAGCTTTGGAGGGGGAAGGTGCGGAGGCGGCGGCAATGGCTATAGACGGAGAAAGTAGCCAGAGAACAGGAAGGAGCATTCCTCGAGCTACTGGATCGATGCAAGTGTTTTCCAGGCTGGTTTTCAGGCAGAGGGAAGAAGAGGTGGCCAATCTGAGGAAAATGACAAGGCTAGAGGGGTGAGCTGGAGAGCACAGGGTCCGCCTGCCTTGGGGAAGGACACTGCTTCCTTTCAGCCAGATGTTGAAGACGAAGTGAGGATGACACAGTGCCTGCTGAGCCTGAGTTAAGATCACTGGTTGAGAGGGAGTAGGCTTTAAGTCCCCATGTCAAGGAGCCACTGAGGGGCCCAATATGTCAAGTAGCACCCATCTGTCCTGGGTCCCCTCTAAATTTATATCCTGGAGGCCAGAACAGAGACATAGCTGTGATGAAGTGTAGCCTTGACCTGGCTGAAATGTGATATCCAAGGTCACAATCATTGAGATGGGAGGGGAAGGCCACGCAGTTGGATGCGAGGTCCCGGGTAGATGGTGACAAGGGTGTCAGAACCTGGTGTGTTGGAGTAAGCAGCATGTTAGGGTGTCAGGACAAGGTCTGAGAAAAGAGGTGGGGGGAACTTGTCACCCAGAGTGGCAGTATCATGGGAAAGGCACTGGGGCGAGGCATCCTGTGGCACACCAGGGACCAGAAGGAAGCCATTGCCTGAGCCCTGGGAAAGGGGAGAAGGACCTTAGCAGGGTCCTAGTCAGAGCAAAGGAGTTTCCTTGGGAGTGGGTGGTGAGCAAGCCTTCTACGGGAGGCTCTTGTCCTGCTACCCAGAGAACAGCGGAGCCCAGTGAGCGACCTGAGACTGGACAGAGGCAGCCCCACCTGCCTTCAGCCTTCAGTGGGTAGGCCTTCGGAAGTGGTGGCACTCCTGCAGGCTCTCTCACTTGCAGGAGGCTCCTGTCCTGCTAGCCAGTTATTCTGTCCCCATCAGCTGGGCCCTCAGCCCTGCCTTGGGTCTCTGGAGGGCAGAGGAAGGCCAATCTCTTTGATATTTGTTATTAACAAATTTATTTACAGTTCCTGAACCAAGATTAATTGTGAAAATTTAATAGGAATGGCATAAAAAGGCCAAACATGACCTCTGTGAGGGTTGTACACACACTTGCTCTATTTCTAAACTAACAACTCAGGTCATCACCCGCAGCTAGGCCCCCCTTTCTTCCTCCAAAATGAGAACAGAATAGCACCAGGCTTCTGGTAGCTTCAACATTTAAAGAGACAAACACACAGAGGCAGAGAAGAGTGAGAAGAACCACAGTACAAAATGTAATAAAAAAGAAGTGGCTAAAGAATCGATAGCAAACCCATCTCGGTCTCCAGATTAATGGCTTGGCTGAAAGAAATGGGGGGAGGTCCTTGGGGAGGGAGGAAAGAGGGTGATGGAGAAGTTGGCAGGTGAGCCACGGACCCTGGTACAGAACCCCGGGTGGGCAGCCTAGACTGAGGCAGGGAAGAGCAGACAGGGCTCTATCCCCAGAGGGGGATCTGGCCACATCCTGGGCTGAGGGGAAAGGTCAGTGCTGGGCCCACACTAAGTGCAGGGAGGGAGCTCTGTAAGCGCAGCAGCCGAGCCCCTCCTCTGCTTCATATGTTCCTGAGGATCTGTGTGCACAGCGTGGGGTGCTGGGGGAGGGGACACAGACACAGGCATTTCGGAAAGCAGGAGAGAGCCACATGCTTGTGGGAAAGGAGGTGGGGGTGGGGAACACTAACCCTGGGCTCTGCAGAGGCAAGTGCCTGCGGAGGGACAGGAAGCCAGGCCAGGGTTCCTGCTGCTCCAGTTTTTTGTGATGCTTTCTGATGCCAACCTTGCCTCTGCCTCCTGGCAAGTGGGCAGCTGGCTATGGCTGGACAAGCCCATCACAGATCACTGCCCAGTCAGGAACATGGCTGGAAGGACGGGTAGGAGAGGGCAGCCCCCAAGCCCAGCCTCTCTTAGTTCTACCTGGACACTAGGTGGGCGGGAGGACTGGATCTGTCCACCCAGAGCTTGGTCATGAACACAGCTGTTCACTTGGACTTCAAAGGCCAGGCCCCAGGTTCCTTCTGGCTCTATTGGAGAGGCCCTGGGGTGCTGCTCCACCATGTATCTGGTCTGCCCTGGCTGGGTGTGCAGCACTCAGCACAGGTATAACTTGTATCTGTGTACCTGGCCCTCGAGTCAGCTGTCTGGCCCTATGAAGAGCTCCGTGCCCTGGGGGACTCACAGGAGCAGTTTGCTGCTGGTGCTGGGACATAGGGAGGCAGGGGGCTGGGAGAGGCTGGCTCCCCCACTGGCTGGCAGAGGGTGGGGGAGAGAGGTAGCCTGGCTCTCTGCAGGTCCCCCTGGGGTTACATGCCTGCAGCTGAGTGCAGGTGGGCTGACAGCTGACCAGGAGCTGCAGAGCAACTGGGAAGCTGGTCAGTCTATTGAGAGCCAGGGCCAGGGGCTGCACACTCAGAATCCTCAGATCCTGGGGAATATCCTCCACCAGGCCAGGGGAGCTGTGTGGCCCAGAGCTCTGCTTGCCTGTCTGTAAGCTGCCAGGGGAAGGGGTCTGGGACGGAGAGGCTGGTCTGTGGGTGATACAAAGGCAGGAGGGAGGTCAGAGACCTGTACTCATGGCCTGGAAGGGGAAAGGAGAAGACATGCCTGCCATCCGTTGTCCTGGTGCTACAGGGGCTGAGTGCTCTTGGGACAAAGGAGACCCCTGGCCTCTTCTCAGAATTGCCACTGGGGAACTGAACCTTGCGCTTGTGGCCAACAAGTGCCAGGTCTGGGCCAGAGGAGAGGTCCGCAAAACCAGAGCTGGTCAGGAGGCAGGGGCAAGTAGGGCTTCTGGACAGCAGTGTCTCTGGGGGGTCCACAACGACATCAACCAACCTCCCCAGGTCTTGGCAGCTTGCTACTGGTCCAGGAATCTCACCAGCCCCTACACGTTCAGTTGGTGACTTCCTGCAGCCCACCATCCCATCCTGTTCTGCGATGCCTGGGGCCTGGTGGTCCTCTTCCTTCCTCATCCTGGGAGATGCTGATCTGTCACAGGAGGGATGGCTGGGAGGCAGAGTCTCAGGACACAGAGGGTCACGATCCAAAGCCGGGGAGCCTGGCTGCCTGTGGGGACAGAAATACCCTGTGGGCCACAGGCTCAATTCCAAAGTAGGCAGTAAGCTGGGATCCTCTGGGGCAGGCTGAGGGCACGGTGGGGTGGGGCACGCATGGTGCTACTCTTCTGGGTTTTAGGGTACTGAAGAGACGTGCCCACTCTGGGTGCCTGTGAAACACTCACTCTTTGGGTCTTACCCTGCGGCAGTGGCAAGTGCTGTTTGTACCTCTCTTGGCTCTGTGGCCTGTGGTCCAAGGATGACCAGAGGAATAGGTTAGAGGCTGCTCCATTTAATAACTTCACAGAGGCAGCTGTGCCCTAAGGCCACTGGAGGAAGCAGCACAGAGCCTGGCTGGCCAAGCTGGGCCCAAGAAGGGAGGCCCGAGGTAGAGACTTGGGCTTAGAGGTAAAGCCACAGCTTCTTGGTGGAAGCTCAGAGAGCCCTGGAATTCTACTGAACCCCCTGCAATCCTTTCTGGGGGTAACTTCTAGATGCAGAAAGACTTGCTCTTCACTCCCCCGGGAACTCCCCTCCACATTCTAGAAGGCCTGACAGGCACATGACCTGGCACATGACCAGGTACACAACCAGAAGTGCAACTGCCGAATGCTCTCTCAGCCCCCACAACTGTGGCCATGCCCACATGTTAGGAAGGGAGCTGTGTTCTGGTCTGGGTCCAGCCCAATCGGCTAAGGCCACAGTAGAGGTTCGTCCCACCCCTTATTTCTAAAACAAACAAAATAGAAGATGATGGGAAAGAAAGGTGAGGAAAGAGAAAATACCACAGCCTGGTCCATGCTGGCACCAACCTGAGGATTCCTTCCCACCTGGAGGGGGCAGCAGCGGAGTGAGAATGCGGCTCTGGCCACCACCCTTGGCAGGCTGCACCACGTCACGCGCTCACCTGGGGAGGCTGGCCTGGAAGGGGATGTCCGCGAAGCTGTGGCTGAGCTGGGCGATGATTCGATCGACTTCTGCATATGGGTGGGCTTCTAGGGCAAAGCTCTGGTGCTGGGCACTCCGGAGATGCTGTCCGGGGGTGAGAGGAGGCACAGGGCATCAGACATGGGGCTAGGATGCCAGCAGACCTCCCAGCCACACCAGGGAGAGACTGGGCAGGAAAGGCTTTCTCAGAACAGTCTGGGGAGCAACTGCTTAGAGGGAAGGGGCTCACCCCATGGAGCTCCTCAAAGGCCTCCTGGCAGCACTCGCAGTAGCCTTTTTTCCTCCTGGGCACCGTGCGGGTGGCTGATCTTGGGCTTGGCTGTCGGTCCTTGGGTTCTCTGGGAAGCGTACAGGGTAGGGGAAAGTGATCACTGCTGGGGCCCTAAGAGCAGAACTACTGCTCCAGGGCCTGGAGCCCAGGCCAGAGAGGGGATGGACGAAACGGCCACGGAGCTGGGCAGGCACAGGCAGGCCTCAGCACTTGTCCAAGGGGGGCAGGAGAAGCAACAAGGAAGATGAGACCTCCCTTGGGCACGCTGTCCTAGCTCTGTCCTTTCCCTGCTCACACATCTCAAACTGCAGGTGAGAATGAGTGGTGGTGGGTGGCGGCAAGCATCCTTTGAAGGACAATTCCAGCTGTCCTCATACCCAAACCCACCTTTATTTGAAAGGGAAATGAAAGGGAAAAGGCCTCAAGAGCAGCAAGGGGACTGTACTGCCTTTGACTCCACCTTATATGCTCCCACATGCTTACTTGTCCCTTGCACAGCTGCTGTCTTAACTACGGACTTTCAAATCTCTCAAATCTGATTTCTCATCTGAATTCCAGTCCCATATTTCTAATGACCTGTAGGGCATTGCTACTGGGCTGTCTGAGCAAACTCAACAAATCTAAAATATTCCCCTTTAAGGACTTTCTAAGTATTACACAAAACCCAGGAAACATAGAAAAAACTTCCAGCCTGACCGGGCATGGCTCAGCGGTTGAGCGTCCACCTAAGGTCCAGGAGATCGCGGTTCGATTTCCGGTCAGGCTCGATCCCCAGTTTGGGGTGTGCAGGAGGAAGCCCTTCAGTGATGACTCTCTCATCACTGATGTTTCTCTCTCTCTCTCTCCCTCTCCCTTCCTCTCTCTGAAATCAATAAAGCTATATTTCAAAAAACAAAAAAACTGATAAATTCAACTACATGAAACTTTAAAAAAATGTATGCATGGCAGAAAAGAAGCAAAGTTAAAAGACAAACAACAAACTGGGGAGTGGGGGCTGTTAACACAACAAAGGGCTCATTTCTCGACTACATGAAGTGCTCCTTACAAATCCATATGAAAGTGATCAATAACTGAATAGAGAAATGGACAAATAATATGCAGAAGGTGCACACAAAGAAATTCAAATGATCAAACAAAACAGATGGAACCTCATTCATAATGGGAAAAAATGAAAATTTTAATTACACTGAGATACGGTTTTTAATCTCAGATTGGCATAAGGCAACAAGTCTGACAGCTCTCGGTATTAGTTAAGGGGATGGGGCAACAGGCTCTCTCCAGGGTGGGTCAGAATGTTTACTGGCATCACCTCTATGAAAAGCAATTTGGCCACATTTATCAAAATTATAAATGCATGCCCAGCCAGCGTGGCTCAGCGGTTGAGCATCGACCTATGATACAGGAGATCCCAGTTCGATTCCCGGTCAGAGCACGTGCCCGGGTTGCCGGCTCGATCCCCAGTGGGGGGTGTGCAGGAGGCAGCCAATCAATGACTCTCTCATCATTGATGTTTCTCTCTTTCTCTCTCCCTCTCCCTTCTCTCTCTGAAATCAATAAAAACATATTTAAAATATATATATATATATACACACAAATGTAAGCACGCTTGTACCCAGCATTTCCACTTTTAGGAATTTACTCTGCAAATATACTTGAACAATCAAATTTTCTCTGAACAAGGCAATTCACTGCAGCCTTATTTATAATAGCAAAAGACTGAAAATAATCAATAAGAGACTGGCTAACACAGTAAACTCACGCAACGGAATGCCCTGCAGCCATAAAAGGGAATACAGATGCTTTTTAGGTACGAATAGGAAATTAACCTAAGATACAGCAGGCTGCAGTGGCAAAAGCAAGCCCCAGCACAGCAGATCTTATGCTGCTCTTTACGTAGGAAGGGGGAGTAAAGAACACGATGTATGTCCACGTACATAAACTATCTCTGGAGACGGACCCACGATCTGGAGATTAGAAGATGGTTGTGGGGGACTTTTCACTCTAAACCCTTTGTAATGCTTGAAAAATTTTTTTTAATCCTCACCTGAGGATATGTTTTTATTGATTTTTAGAGTCAGAGAGAGAGAGACAGCCAGACAGACAGACAGACACTGATTGGTTGCCTCCCATATGCACCCTGACCGGAGATCAAACCTGCAACCTTCTGGTGTATGGGACGACACTCAAATCAACTGAGCCACCCAGCCAGGGCTGTAATGCTTGAATTTTAAACCAACATAGTCTTTTATTTTTCAATCCTCAGCTGAGGATATGTTCAGAGAGAGAGAGAGAGAGAGAGAGAGAAGCATCGATCAGTTGCCTCTTGTGCACACCCCGACAGGTTCAAACCTACAACCTTTTGGTGTACAGGATGACACTTCAACCAACTGGTCCACCCAGCCAGGGCCAAAATAATCACTTTTAAATTTAAAAAATTAAACATTTCCTCTCACAGATTACACACACACACACGCACGCACGGAACCCTGGCCAAAGCCATCTCTATGCTCAAGTGCAGGTACCAAAGCTTCAGTGCTTCGCCATCGTCCCTTTACAACCACTTGGCCCCTGCGATTCTGAGGCCATCCCAGGCCGAGCACCACCCACCAGCCCCAAGCCCACAGCCCCCGGCTGGCTCTCTCTGGTATCCCTTGCGCCTTCTCGGAAAGGTGTGAAGGGCACCTGGACTTCACCTCAGCTCGTTCTCTCCTTCCTCCCCTCCGCCCGCTGCCACATTCCCTTCAGCTTTTCCTCTCATCTGCACTATTTCCTGATCCCGCCGCCTTTCTCTGCTGGTGTAACCTGCAGGCCCTCATTGGCCCTAGGACCCCTCGGCCTGAGCCTGCTCTGTCCTGTTCTCCTGGTCTGTGAACTCACTCTGTGGCCCAGAAGTTAGAAAGGGTTTGAGAAGGCACCGAGTTCATGAACTGAGCTGCGTTCCTTCTGTGCTTTGGTCAATGAAGGTTCACATCTCACATACCTGCTAAGAAGGAATACTAAGCCTATAGGCCACTTTGGGCCATATGATGCAGGAGGCCTCCTAGGTCCTCTGCCCCTTAGTTATTCCCTGTTTAGCCCAAAGGCCTCAAATTCTGATGTACATCAAACCACCCAGGGAGCTTGGGAGGATGCAGCTTTTGGGGCTCCATCATCAGAGATTGTGATTCTATAGATGTGAACTGGGGTCCAGGAACCTGCATTTTTTTTTTTAATCCTCACCTGAGGATATTTTTTCCATTGCTTTTCAGAGAGAGTGGAAGGAAGAGAGAAACATTGATGTGAGAGACACACATCGATTGGTTGCCTCCTGCACTTGCCCTGACTGGGGCCAGGGTACGTGCCCTTGGCTGGAATCGAACCAGGGACCCTTCAGTCCATGGGCTGACACTCTAACCACTGAGCCAAACGAGCCAGGGCCAGGAACCTGCATTTTTAATGGAACCCCAGGGGGCTCTGATGAAGGTGGTCTACAGATTTGAGTTTCAGAAACCAGCCTTTTGTCCTCTGGACACAAGTCAAATTCTTCAGTAGGGATGAAGAACACCAAATAAAATGGATGAACATTCTTTGTATCTCTCTTCTCTGGGCTAAGTTCCCAGAATAGACTTCGCCTAAGGAGCTAACACATGGCCATTCCCAAATCTGACCAGCAGGCCCCGAGGGGAAGGACTCCGGCCTGTAACCAGCCCTCGTTATTCAGGAACCAGAAAGACCCACCTGGTACGGTGTGAGCTGCCCGGGGTCGTCGGGGCCTCAAAGGGACTTGCGTCTTTGGGTCCCAGAAAAGAAATTTCAGGAAAGGATTTAAACTGATGGTGGAAAGGACGAAACTTCCTGAAACACAGAAAACTTCCACTTTGACTATAGTGGGGAAGGGAAAGAGGGAGGAAGGCAGGCCAGCCTGATAAAGTGGACTCTCACCCGCACATCCTACAGGTTCTAAAACAAAACTCATCAGCCTTACTGGGTTAAATTAGCACCTATGCCCTCCCTGCCTACTTTCCAAGCCTGTTTATTCACTGCCTCATCTGAACTCCACAGCCGTTCCTGAGCAGGGTGAACAAGTGGGGTAGACAAAGCCCAAAAGGTCCTGGAACTCGCCCAAGGGCTCACAGCTAGTATGCGGCCAAGACCTGACTGGAAGCCACATCTCCTGACTCCTGACTAGTTCTTCCCACACTTCCATTTGGTACTTGACCCTAAAACAAACTTTGAGGACTCTAGCCCCACAGAATCTAAATGGAAGGACGTTTGGACCAGAGCAGTGATTTTCCTGTTCCATGAAGAGCAACACTTTTGCTCTGGGCTGGTCCTCTGCGCCCAGAGCAGGGTACAGTTCTGAACAGAAGAGGCACAGTAAAGGTTCTGACAGTCAGACCCACAGTGGGTAGTTTCGGTGGTCTGCCTCAAACTGCTCAGATTCAAGCTCGGAGCCGGATCTGATCATGTAGGGATATACTCAGCAAACCCTGCCGATTTAACTGAGCACCCCGTGTCCAGTGCCATGGCCCGTGCTCTGGGGAGTACAGGCCATGGGTTCCTGGGTGGCACAGTGAGAGCCTGTGGCCTCAGGAGTGAATGAACAGGTTTCTTGGACCCTTAAAGAGAAAAGGGTGCCCTCACAGCCCTGGCGCCCCATTTCTTTCTCTTCGTGCTGCTTTGCTTCGGCTCAGGAGGCCGGGGTGGTGAGGCTGGTAAGGCTACCAGGCTTTGAAGAGCGCCTGCTTCAGAAGCTCATAAAAAGAATCACAAGAAACCTCAGCTCCGCTTGGATCTCCTCTGCTGCCTACGATGCTGGGGGCACACAAGTACGTGTACTCCCCTCAGTGAAAGTGGCATCACCTGTGCCTGCCACGTGATGCCTCCCGAGGCTTGGCGGTGTGTCTCAGCCGCTGTGCATGAGTCATGACTACTTGAATTTAACTGCCTGTGAAGGGGCTGGGATTGGCGGACATGTATCCCATCCCACCAGAACTGGAGAAGATAGCACCTCAATGCCATCCGTGTTCTTTCCACGCATTTTGGGCCACCAAAGCCAACTCTGTGCTGTGTGCAGGGGCCAAGAAGGGCATTCAGGCCCATCTGGAGGATGGGCAGGCGTGCCATGCTCTGGGGCTGGGTCTTGAGCTGCCCTGAGTGAGGCTGAGGGACCCAGAAAATTCTAGTCCCCGGACTCTCTGCTGGGTACACATGGGCTTTTTTTCTTTTCAAAACCTTTCCTTTTGAGATAATTATAGGTTCACATGGACTTTTGACCTAGTACTTACTGAAGAGTGAGTGATAGCCCAGGTGGCTAACAGCTCATCAGGCTATCATCAATGTGACTTTCCTGCTCCAGGTAAAAAGGGTCCCTAACGGTGGACAGGGCAGAGTGGAGAGGGCCCCGGGCAGGACAGTTAGGACACCTGGAGTCTAGCCTTGGCTAAGGTTCATTAGGAAAGTGGCTGTGTGCAAGCCCTAATTTCTCTGACTTCAGCTTCCCCACTTGGAAGAGAGTGGACTCTCTCCCACCAAAAGCTGTCATGAGATGACATGTGCCAGCAGAGGGTTATGCACAGCAAAACAGAGGGGCTTCATCAAGGCAAGGGAATCCGAGCACTGCCCCAAGCACCCTCGCTTCAGCCAAGATGACTACATTAGCCCTGTACTGGGGCCAGCAATGATTCGATAGTAAGTGTCAGCATATACCTAGGAGTAAACGTGGAGAAATAACGAGTTGGACAGGACATTACGAGATCCTAAAGGCAGAGCATTAAAAGGAGGTAATTCACATATGGATCATTAACCTCTGATTCATGACTAGGGGTGCCAGCTGTGCATGCCACCCTCAGAGGCTCCTTCTGGTCTCTTTGAGACTTCTCCATGACAGGGGGAGAAAGAGGCTTCTGGGAAGACAAAGATGCAGGGCTGAGAGGCTCCATGACCCCATGTGAGTTTGGGACTTCTCCTCCATGTGGGCCTGATAGGGGTGAGGGGAGAGGGAGAGGCCCTACTCACCTGCTCTCATCTTCAATTTTGAGAAATGGTGCTTTTAGTCTGGCCACTGAAAAGGAAGAGCACACACATTAGCCATCTGTCTGCTCCAGTGCAGGCCCCACGTGGCAAACACAGGAAATGCTCAGAGAGATGAGGCCCTGCCAAAGCCTAAGAGCCTCTCAGAGACGGCACGTGAGCTGCCACAAGGTGTGCCTTTCAATTTGGCAGACATGAGGCACCCACTCCCATCTCCTCCAGCCTCTACCCTGGGAGAACGAGTTCCAGCACTGGGGGGAGAGGCTGCAGGGAGCCCGGGGTCCTAGGCATGCCCTCCCTTGGCAGGACAGAGAACTCTCATGCATGTGGGTTCTGGAGATTGTCAACTGACCATCAGAAACTGAACTGAGTGGGAGAAACCCAGCCCCTGCTGCTTTCTGTTTCCCAGACCTTTACTCCTGGTGTCTCAGGATCCTGAGGGGCCTGCAAAAGCTCCCAGTCAGGATGCTCCATGAGGACCCTGGGTTTTCTTGGAGGGGAGGACCAGAGAAGAAGAGAGCTAAAGAGTGTTTAGGGCCCGGTTGGGTGTGGCTCAGCAGTTGAGCATCGACCTAGGATCCAGGAGATCAGTGTTTGATTCCTGGTCAGGGCACATGCCTGGGTTGTGGGCTCGATCCCCAGTCGGGGGTGTGCAGGAGGCAGCCGATCAATGACTCTCTTATCATTGATGTTTCTACTCTCTCTCTCCCTCTCCCTTCCTCTCTCTGAAATCAATAAAAAGATATATATATATATTTTTTTAAAATAAAGTGTTTAGGGATCTAAACCCATCAAAGGTGAAATCTGGTTCCTGAAAAAAATAGGGCAAAGGAGTTCTAGGAGGAAAAATTTGGAGTCAATTCATCAAGAGATTCATCCTCTACTAGTTAGTTATTTGCACAGGGTACCAAATCTCTTAGGCATTAAGAACTATTTCTACCTTCCCACAGTGACCAGAAGGGGCTGGAAGCCTGGGCACAGCTGACAGCTACTGAATCTCCAGGGCTGGCACCTCACAGCTCTAGACCTGTTTGAGGAGGCCACCGGCATCAAAACAAAAAAGGCAGCCTTTCTCCCAGTAATTACTTTTTTCAGGGCGATTCCTTGTCTAATTAACTGAGACAGTTATTAAAATCAATTCCCCCACAGATTTCCTTGAATTTTGAACACAAGAGGTGCCAAGTGACTTTTCTTAGCTCTTGCTTGTGCACGAATAAATGCCACTTAAAGAGCATCTTTGGGAGAAACATCCAGGAGGAGAAACTCTCCTGCTGTCCAAGAGGAGCTGGGAGCCGGGCCTGTCAATCTGCCTGTTTGTCAATTTCAGGGAGTTTGGCATTTCTGAGAGTAGTAGGCAGCTGCTAAACTGCCCACTCCAAACTGCTCCTGAATCAAAAGGAAAGGATGCAGAACTTCAGTTGGTGGCCAGGAACAGCCAGAGGACACCGGAGCCAGAGTGACCTCATGGGGTCTTGGCTCTCAGGAGAAGCCCCAGCCCAGCAGCTCTAGACTTGCTCATGGATGCCCCTCTCCTGCCACTCGCCTCTCCAAAACCCAGGCCCTGGAAACACGATGGGACAACACAACCTGGACCTGCTTCCTGCCGCAGAAAAGTGAGCAGATGCTGCCACAGAGGGAGTCGCAGGCAAGCATTTAGGAGGGAGGGATTGCAATTAGATGAGGAACAGCTCCCACACTGACCTTTCCGTGTTCTTGACTCTGCTGGACATGTTCCCTAAATGGAAAGGGAAAATAGGTTAAGGATGGGAGGGAGTCAAGGGGGTCGAGGAACCGGGCAGATGAGCTGAGTTGCTGTGAGTCTGCCCCACTTTGCTTCCTGTTGTCAGCGGGGCCCTGAGCTAGATCTGACCTGAGCACGATGGCTCCCTCCGCCTCCCCAGGGACACAATGAGTGGTGAGCATTGTGTGGGAATCTCAAGCTGACTTTGTAGAGGGAATGCAGGCTGGAGCAACAGCAAGAGCTGTGGAGCCCCACAGGCCTGGGTAGGAAGTGGCGCTGCACTGCCTGTGATGTGAGGAGCACTCACCACCTCCTCAGATGTGGCACAAATGGGTAGGGACAGGTAATAGGCCTGACACAGAGTAGGTGCTCCATAAATGGCAGCTGGTAAATACAAGGCCATCCAGGCATGCTGCCATTCCAGGTCAGCTTACAGGACAAGGGTAAAGACAATGCTTTTTGCTTTCCTGTGCCCCATCTTGTGTACCCTGTTGGTCAAAACCAACATTTAGGCCAAGGTCAAACAAAGCTAACATTAAAAACTAAATGGACCCTGACCAGTTTGGCTCAGTGGTTAGAGCATGAGCTGGAGGACAAAAGGGTCCCGGGTTCGATTTCCAGTCAAGGGCTTGTACCTTGGGTGCAGGTTCGATCTCTGACCCAGGCCAGGGCACTTGTGGGAGGCAACCAATCGATGTGTCTCTCTCACATCAGTGTTTCTCTCTCTCTCTCCCCCCTTTCCCCCTTCCTAAAAATCAATGGAAAAAATATCCTCCAGTGAGAATTACCAACAACTACAAAAAACTAAATGGAAAAAAATAAGAAATCAGTTAGGGTTGGCGGATGGGGCAAGATGAGAGAGCCAGTGAATCTGTGACTGCAGATCCTCCTCCAGGCCACATCTCCAGCACAAAGACACCCAAAGAAGCCTTCCACATCCCCTCATATATTGCACCCAGAACTCACTCCAAAAAACTCCCAAGTGTCTACAAAATAGATTATTAGTGAACGAAGTCAAGTAAGAACACTGCATTTACATAAAAGGGAGAATTTTTGATATATCTGCTGTAAATGCACGGAGTCTGAGAAGGATACCTGATGAACTGTTCACACTGCTTGTCTCAGGAAGGGAGCTTGGTGGCTGGGGAATAGTTTCTGTTGGAGGGGAGAGACTTTCACCATATACCTTTTCCAATAGTGACAATGCAAACCTATTTAACAGCACCAGCAAAACCCCAAAGAGCCCTAGATCAGAGGTATAGGGCAAGAGGCGCTGAGGCAGAGGGCTCCATCAGGTGTGCATGTGGTTTGCTACTGCTCTTGGTCCTGCTCCTGGGTGCCAGGCCCTGGGTGGACCTGCAGGGCTCTTAGGCCTTCCTCAGATTCCGGCTGGGTGAAAGCAGTGGCTTTAAATCAGCCTGGGCTCTCTTGATGAGATACATACAGTTCTAACTCCAGCAAAGGAAGGAAAAACCAGACCAGAATTTGGAATATGGCAGCTATTTCAACCACACCTCCCACCCCTGCCCCCACCCATGCTATCTGCAGGCTCATTCCCAGGCCAAGACACATCCCCAGAAAGGCAGCCTGGCCAGCAGGCCATGGGCATTTATGTTTTATCTAGGCCAGGATTATCCACGGCCCAGGCGGCAGTCAATGCCTCAGTGCACCACGGGGGATTTGCAGGTAGCACAGGGAGGAGAGGACAGGCTATACATACGAGGGATGAGCTAACAGAGAGGCTGCACTGCTCTTACTTTTTCCAGAATGGCCGGGAATAGATGGGTGGGGCATATTTTCTAGAGTTGTCACACACTTCACAGTTTACACACCATCCATTTCCCTTCGGTTCAGCAGGATGACCTACCTCTGGCTTCTTTGGCCCTTGTTTCTTTACACATAAAGCATCTAGAGAGAGCTGCTGCACGTGCATCATCATTTCTGTGGAGAAAACAGAGGCTGTGGCCGAAGGCTTCACTCCTCACTCCCCAGCAAAGCCCCTTCCTGAGGCTGCAGGACTAAAAGTCTCACCAGGCCTGGCACATTGGATCACACCAGCCTTGCCTGCCACCTTCTGGCTACATGTCACCTCTGCACCTGCTGATAATAAAAGAAATGGCTGGGTCCTCTATCCCTGGAAAAGGAACTAGGCTGACTTTTTGCTTTTGTAGCACTTTTTTTTTTTTAATCCTCACCTGAGGAAGATATGTTTATTGATTTTAGAGAGGGAGGGAGAGAGAGAGAGAGACAGAGAGAGAGACAGAGAGAAACATCGATCAGTTGCTTCCTGTACGCGCCCCCGACTGGGATTCGAACCTGCAACCCTTCAGTGTACAGGACGATGCTCCAACCAACCAGGCCATATGGGCCAGGGCTGAATATAACTCTTGAATATAAAGTGACTTATGGCTAACAAAGGGCTTTAAGGTACTACTGAAGAGCTGCTTCTGTGGGGGAGACCAAGCCACCTGAGTTACTCAGATGTATCCTTGGGGTGGGGAGGGGGGGGCCTAGCAGGGGCTACACACGCTGGAGCTTCTCTAACCACAGGAAGGCAGGAAATTGGATCCAGTCAGAAATGGCTCATCTTCCAGTGACAATGGGACCCCCCACCTCCCAGATCAGGGCCTTCCCACACGCAGTTCTCTGTCCCCCTGACACATCTCAGGCTGGATCTGGACCAGTCCCCTTAAAGGATCAGAGAAAACCCAACGCGCAGTGGAGCTGGATATGAAGGCCAGTCACCTCCAGCCCGTTTGGGACGGCTATTCTAGTGTAAATTTATTACAACCTGCAAACAGGTGGTGACAGTGTGGGGCAACCCTATAAAAAAGAAAGAAGAGGAAGTTTAGTTGGGCCAAACTAAGTTGGAATGTGGGTCACACAACTCACTCTTGGTGAGACTACGGATAATTTACTTAATCCCCCTAAGGCTCAATTTCCTCGCCCGTACACTAGGCAGAGGACTGTGGTGAGGATTGAATGAGGTAATTCCTAGCACAGAGGAAACACCCGGTAAGTGGCCATGGGGATGAGGATTATTTCCTTACTTGTGAAACAAGATCATTACATTAGCTTGAGGAGACTGGTGAGTGGGTTCAACAGGAAAGAACTTCAGAGTACACTGCCATTGTCGCTGCCGGTCTCCACACCCCCCCACTGTTGAGGATCAGCACGGTAACTGAGTATGCCTGGCTTCCAGCCAGCTTGCACAACTACGATCCCTCTGAAAGGGGTCAGTCACCAACTCTCCCCTCCACAGGAGCCCTGGCAGAAACGGTACCGTCCACATGCAGAATCCTCACTCCCCAGGAGCGGGCGTTGGTCAGGAGGCTGCCGCCGCTCCCGCCGCCTCCGCCGCTGCTCCCCTGGAAGGACCAAGCAGAGTCAGGCAGGAGCGTGAGATGCCACAGGGCCTGGACACTCTGCGCACAGGCTGTCCTGGCTCTGGGACATCTACATGGAGGGATATGGTGGGAGAGTCCACCCCACCCCCCGGGGGACACCTATCCTACATCGGGGGGCACGGCCCGCTGGTCTACCCACATTCTGCTCCCGCCCCGTGAGGCCAGGAAGGAGCACAGGCCTGTAAGGGAGCTGCTTGCTGGGAGGGCTCTGTGAGGAGCACACAGTGCGTAATACACACCAGTGACAACCACCATCATCTAGCAGAGAGCTCTGCTGGCCACACGCTTTTCCCGCCCCGCTGCGTAAGTCTGACACCCTCCTCCCTCATCACAGCCAGCGCACCATCTTGATGGCACTTCAGTAACTCCTCTCACAAGATCACCTTAATTCCTCCTCCTGCCACTTAACTTTAATGGTTCTAGATTCTCACAAAACGGATGAACAGCTGCCCTGGTCAGGTAGCTCAGTGAGTTAGAGCATTGTCTCGATACACCAAGGTTGTGGGTTTGAACCCCAGTCAGGGCACATCAACCAGTGAATGCATAAATAAGTGGATCAAGAAAGCAATGTCTCTCTCCCCTCCCTTCCTCTCTCTCTCTCAAATCAATAAATAAAATTTTAAAATCTTAAAAAACAAAAATAGATTCACAAAGTCTGGCTATATGCAGAGCAGACACATCCCACAGCATCCCTTCAAGATTCTCTTGGTAGGCTCTGAGTCCAAAAAATCAAGGAGTCAAATCCCGGCTCTATCACTGATACCCTGAGTGACTCTGGCTTAATTACTTAACTTCTCTGAGCCCCACTTCCCTCATCACAGCCAATGCACTGTGAGAATGACAATACATCTTATAGGTTGTGTTTTATGTTAGTACAGCTGACCCTTTAACAACACAGGGTTTAGGGGTGCTGACACCCTGCACAGTTCAAAATCTGCATATGACTTTTGACTCTTAAAACTTGTCCCTTGGTATCCGTGAGGGATTGGTTCCACAACCTCCTCTGGATACCAAAATCTGCGGATACTCAAGTACTCTATATAAAATGGCATAGATCAATGAATACAGTCGGCCCTCCACATCCATAGACTCCCAACCATGGATCAAAAACAGTATAGGTAGTTATTGAAAAAAAGCCCAGGTATACGTGGATCTGTACAGACAAACCTGTGTTGTCTGAGGGTCATTTGCACTTCAGAAGAACCTTGGAAGCCTCAGCTCACCTGGTTTCTGATGGCCTTCTGCAGTAGCTCCTTCCCTCTGCTCATAGGTACCTGACAAGAAGAGACGAGCAATGACGTACGTGGTGTAAACCACCTGTGCACAGATGTTTACTAGGAGCTGGCGAGGATGACTTGGAGTCATAGCTCAGAAAGCTGGGAGCAATGACAGCTCAGGAGTGGCCGCAATGAGAATCTAGAACCTTTTAGAGGCAAAGGTAAACCACACACAAGTTCAGGTCGCCCACAGAAAGCTGTGGCCTGGACCCTGGTGGAGAAGGGCATTCTGAATTCACCAGAGGTCGAAGTGTTACAAATGTTAAAGACTTCCCTTTAAGAGTCTCTGCACTCTCCAGTAGATAAGTCTAGGCCAATTCCAATAGCCCTCCCTGGTTTAGAGGACTCTCCTGCTGTTTCTGAACCTCTGACTCTGCAGTCCCATAAAAAGGGACAATACAAGGAAATGCATGGGGAGAGCATGTTGTGAGGCGTTTAGATCGAGAGCTGTGAAAATATTTTCAGCCCCTGAATTCTAATGAGAAATTAAACCAGATGAAACTAAAACCAGAGACGGCCTCAAAGGGCTCATTGAGGCTTACTTTCTTTGTTTACAGAATACACCTTTCCCACTCCGAGAGGTTCTTACCAAGTCTACAGGTTTCTGTGAAGGCCTGGTATGGCTGCCTTTTGGATCAGCTGTGGACGGTGTTTCCATCCTAACCTCGCTGGAGCAGCTTCTGTGGCTTGTCCCACTGCTCTCTGCCTTCGCCTCCCTGCGGCTGGACACGATGTAACTTACTTCTTTGCTCAGAAAACCCTCAATTACCTGAAACCAGATCACAAAGGTGGCTGAAAACCAAAAGGCAGATGTAGAATCATCAATACTGAGAGGTTGGAGAAGGAAATCTTGGCTGCTCGAAGTTCCAGAATCAATGTCTTTAAATAGACCAAATGCAGTTCTACACTGGGCCCCCGAGTAGCCATCATCCTGAAATATAATAGGGTTTATATATATAATACAGGTTGTCTCTAGAAATGCTGCTCCTGACCCAGCAGAAGGCCACAGGCTTTGAGTTACTGAGCAGTTTATGGGTTTGCACGGAGCAAGACCAAACTGAAGGGACCAGAGAGGATTAAGGGGTAGCTTAGTTAAGCCATGATTTTTTCTGTGAAGATACACGAGACCTCCAGACCCCGCCTCTGTAACCTTGACTACACTACTAAAAGAAGCCTAAAATATGAAACCAAAAAGGGTTTTGGCTACTATTCAGCTGCATAGGTATCTGCTCATCTTACCTGTAAGTCTTCCCTGGGCGCCAAGAGGGTCTGACTCATCTTTGCATCCCAGGAACCCAACACAGTGCCTGAAGCACAATGACACTTAACTCATGTTTGTGAGAAGAGGAAAAGATGGAAATCAGCAGTGATGAGCTGGAAAATGTTTAATGACCCACTTTCCAGGGGGAAAAAAATCCCTGCTTTGTAGCATTTGTTGACTTCTGTGGGGTAAATACTCCCATTATGGCTGCTGAAGAAGCCACAGGGGCACCCAGCACCAATTGCCAGATGTGTGAGTGAGGTCAACTTGGTCTTTCCAGCCTAGCTAACCCTCTAGCCAAATGCAGCTGTAAGAGAAACCACCAGCAGAGAAACCACCTAGCCAATCCAGACAGTAGTGAGAAACAGCTTGTTTTAAGCTCAAATCCTGGAATGGTTTTTATACAGCAAAGGCTAAATGACAGAAAAGACTAAAAGTTCAAATGTATTTTTAGGCCAGTGTGGGTCTATGACTGTCATTCAGTCCATCCCCACTGCTGAGTCTCTATATCCAAGTTTCTGTTAGATTGACAACAGAGTCTCTGCATTCTAAGCCTCTTCAAGCATTTTCCCCAGTGACCCACCTCTTTGGGGCCAAGCACTCTCATCCTATTTTCTAAACACAAGAGATGTCCACCCGACCCTTACTAAAAGTACCACATGACATACATCTGCTTTAAAAACATTTTAAAGGACTCAAACACAGAAATGCTTTTTACCCAATGTTGTTCACCACTGTGTTATTTATATGAGCTCAAATTTAGAAATAATCTAAATGTCCATAGGGTAAGTCAAGCAAATTAACAATCCACTCAAAAGAATATTATATTCTCATTATAAATAATGCATATGAGGGACAATAATGACAGGAAAGTGCTAATGGGCAAAAAGGTTATGGGCAAAAAATTGGTAATAAAAAATTTGATCTTATGATCATAGCTACACAGAAAATAAGCATTAAAAAAAGGACAGAATACAGAAGTAGATAAATGGTTACCCAGGGTTGGGGGATTGAGAGGAAATGGCAAGTGACTGACATGGGTCTGGGTTTCTTTTTTTGGGGGTGATGGGAATATTCTAAAATTGACTGTGCAATCACACTTGGACATCTCTGTGAATATTCTAAAAAACACTGAATCTTTCCCTTTAAATGGGTGAATTTTATGGTATGTGAATTGTATCTCAATAGAGCTGTGAGAGAAAATGAAAGAGGAAAGAAAATAGTCCAGAAAAGAACTCAAAACATCTGCCCAGCCAGGTGTGGTTCAGAGGCTGAGCATCAGCCTAGGATCCAGGAAATAGCGGTTTGATTCCCGGTTGGGGCACATGCCCGGGTTGCGGGCTCGATCCCCAGTCGGGGGTGTGCAGGAGGCAGCCGATCAATGACTCTCTCATCACTGACGTTTCTCTCTCTCCTCCTCTCTTCCTCTCTCTGAAATCAAGAAATATATATATTTTTAAAAGAAACCAAAAAAACCCAAAACATCAAAATGATGGTTGGTATTTGCAGCAGTTCCATGTTCTCTAAAATTTCTAGAATGAACAGATAGTATTTTTCTAATTAGGAAAAGAAATTAAACTTTATTTTTAAAAATGGTTTATACTTAAAATTGCTTTGGAAAAATATAACGATATCACTAAATATACCTGGAAGACAGATACAACCCCTCTCCTGCTCCTGCCCTACACGCTTATCACAGGAGAGGAGGCTACATACCCCCCCCAGCTGCTGGATGGCCCCCGTCAGAAACTGGAGATTCCTGCCAGCAGGCAGATCCAAGTAAAAGGACTTTCCGGAAAAGGGCTGCCGCCTCCTAGCATCTGGTGAGCTCTTCTGGCATTTTCCCAGACAACTGGAAACTCCTAGCTGAGCGCCTAGAAAACAACAACAAAGAGGAGCCAAGTGAGAAGGTGAGGTGAGAGCGCGCTGGAAGTTAAGCAACCCTCACCCACAGCCTCTGCGCCCTGTGCCCGGCGGGGCCCTGGGCACACAAGGACCTATGCGAGACAAGTGTTCCTGCCTTGGGGTGGTCTCCCCCAGTCCCTAAACTCAGCAGAGGGGCATAGGTTAGGGCCTGCGCTTTTGTATCATCCTTCCAGGAGCACATTACTAGTCAGAGTGGCTAACAGTCTCACGGGAACATTAGCTTATAAGAAAATATGAGGCAATCGAAGACAGCAAGACGCTTTCTCTGGCATATGTTATTTATCTGTCATAAGTAATAAACCGACAGAAAAAAGAATTTTAAAGTATAATAAATATCCTCAAAAAGGCAAGGAAGGACACTGGAAACATAAAAATAGGAATCGTAGGTAAAGAAAAGAATTGAGAATCTAGAATATAAGTAAACCAGATAAGAATCTGACAGAAGAGACAAAAAGCATCATTATCTATCTGAGCCTGGGCTCTGCGTGAGTCTCCCTGAGATCTCAGAACCACAGGCCTCCCAAGAGTGTGGAATTCAAATTCATACTACTTATGTGGTCTAGGAACTCACTACGACCACCACCAAACAGAAATTAATGTAAAAAGTAATCCCAGCTAGTAACACTTGGCATAGCTCAAAGAATCAAAAGCAAAATGACTCTAGAGGTAGATAGCTCAGACCAGAGTTCCCAGAATTTCCTCAGATAAAAGCAGCATTGAATTTTAGCTCACACTCCAACACTATAAAACCTATGGAGGAAACAAACCTCCATGGATAAGAGTTAGCAGAAATAAGAGATAGCAAAATGAGATCTCTGAGAGCTCCAAATAGAATGACCACATATAGACTACAAAATAAGTGCCTAAATTAGTAAATACTTTAATAAATATTTAAAATGCTACGAGAAAATGAATGTCAACTTAGAGTTTTATATTTGACTAAGCAATTATTCAAGATTGAGGGTAAAATAAAAACATTCTTCAAACAAATAATACTTCAGAAAGTTTATCACCAACCAATTATTACTAAAGGACTTTGAAAGGTGTACACTGGCAGGAAGGAAACTGAACCCAGAAGGAACACTGAAATGCTAAAAAAATTAGTAAAAAGTATACATATAAATCTAAACAATTACTGACTGGATAAAACAATAATAATGATGAATAATTTAGAAGTGAAAAAGGAAAGACAATAATAATGATATTGCTGCTAGAGAGCAATAATGCTACATGGGGTTGGGGGTAGTTCAGACAGAGCACTCTAGCCCTTGTAGTGTTTAAGAGGAGGGCCAGAAATATTTACATAGCACGCTGGAAGCTGAAAGAAGATGGATCATGTCTTCAAAACTCTGAAGAAAAACTATTTCCATAATGAAAAATTTAGATTTAGTTTAACTTAAATTTTAATGATACTAAAATTTTGTATATTTTAAATATAATGTATTTGATTTTATAATTCTTTAGATTACCACTAGCTAATAAAAATATAATGTGAGTCACAAATGTGAGCAACATCAGTGAATTTTTTTTAAACTGAATTTGAGAGAGAGGAAGGGAGAGGGAGAGAGAGAAACATTGATGGGAGAGTGAAACATGGATCGGCTGCCTCCTGCATGTTCCCTACCGAGGACTGAGCCCACAACCTGGGCATGTGGCCCAACAGGGAATCAACCACCAACCTTTCGGTGTTAGGGATGACGCCCAACCAACTGACCCACACTGCCTGGGGCGACATCAGTAATTTTAAATTTTCTAGTAGTCACATTAAAAAAGTAAAAACAAAACAAAAAGCAAAAACAGGTGAAATTATTTCCAGTAATATATTTTATTTACCAACACATTAAAAATATTATCATTTCAAAATATAATCAATATAAAATTATTAATGGAATATTTTACTTTTTTTTTCATATTAAGTCTTAGAATCAGTGTGTATTTTACCCTTATGGTCCATCTTAATTTGGACAGGCCACATTTCAAGTGCTCAGTGGCCACATTTCAAGTGCTCAGTAGCCACATATGGCCAGTGGTTACCGCATAGTACAGTGTATCCTTAGATCACTGAGGTCAATAGAAAAACAAAATATGTGAAAACCTTTATTATAACAACTTAATTCATGGTTTTGCTGAAGTGAAGGAAATGAAATTTTGTAAAATAAATGTATAATAATTAAAACAAACAAAAATTTCCAACCTAGAATTCTACCTAGGTGAACTAGCATTCAAAAGTAAGGTAGCACAGAACTGTCAGAACTGCAAGGTCTCAAAAAAATTTACTTGTCATGTACCCTTTCTTAGGAAGCTATACAAGAAGATAAACTCTGCTAAAAGCATGAAATAGCCCTGGCCGAGTAGCTCAGTTAGTTAGAGCACTACCCCATATGCCAAGGTTGAGGGTCCGATCCCCATCAGGGCACACACAAGAGCCAACCAATGAATGCATAAATAAGTGGAACAACAAATGGAAGTTTTTCTCTCTCTAAAATCAACAAATTAAAAATAAATAAATAAAATAAAAACAGTAAACAGAAAAAGGAAAATATGGAATTTAGAATATAGAGAATCTATATTCTATATATAGAGAATCTATGTTCTATAGAGAATCTATATTCTAAGAGGCAAATGAAATTCCACAGAATGATGAAGGGAGGTCCTAGGATGAAATTAGTGTAACAGGCCTAGTACCCAGCTGGGCCAGGCTGAGGCATTAAAACAAATGGTCTCAGAAGGTAAGTCTCCCAAAGAAACCGATAAGATTCTCTGATGAACCTGTAAGTATTGGGACAAAGTTCAGATCTCTGATAAACAGAGTCTGGACATGAATTAGTGATCCACACACAGAAAACAAAGCATATTTCATAGTTTACTATATGGCTCAGCTTGAATAATCTTTCCATAATCATAATAATGTAAATACAAAATTACTAAACAAAAAGTACTACATTATATACTGGGAAGATGGAAGGAGAGGAGCTAAATGTGAACGTGGTGTAGAAGAGTGGGGGAGGATCAGAAAAAAAAGCTTTATCTTCTATATTAGAAAGACAATAGATATAATTTAAAATTGAAAACAACAAAAGCAGTGAGCATACTACTTAGAAATAAGAAGGTAAATACTAGAAGAAATAGCTAAAAGAGGGTAAATGGCTGTTCCCTAGGCAGTGGGAGTCAGGAAGGATGAAAGGGGGAGCAACCCCTGCTCCTGCTTTTTTGTGCATAACAGACCTTGACTTTTTAAACTATGTAACAGTAAAACTCTGATAAAAATAAAGTAAGCCAGTAAAATTCATACCTAGTCATGTTATAGTGAATTTTAAGAACAAATATAAAGAGAATAATCAAAACTCTTTTAAAGTGAAAAGCAGGTAACTTACAAAGAAACAAGAATCAGATTGACATCAACTCTCAACAGCATCTATTTTTTGCAAGAAGAAACTACTGTCATTTTTTCGGTGTGTTAAGGGGGAAAAACTTTGACTCAATTTTAATATATGGGTGAAATAAAGATACTCTTAGGCATAAAGCCCCAGAAAGTTTGTCACATAAAGTTCCTTTCTGAAAACACTCTTGGAGAAAGTTCTCCATTAAAACAGAAACAGATCCAGAAGCAAGCAACAAGGCATGGGCAAAGAAGAGTAAATAACTTAGTAAAGCGTATTACTGTTTAAAAGGCAACAACCAAATAGCATCTCTGTAACATTCCAAAACTAAAACGAGAAGAGAATAAAAGAGAGGGGAGGAGAGTATCGAGGGAAAGGAGCTAAAATACTTATATAACTGCGTGGGGAGTGTTTAAGTTTATCCATAAGCTTAATACTTTTATGGTAGAAATATTCGTGAATATGGGTTTCATATTCATGGTTACTCAACCGTGACTTCCCATCTGTCAGCCAATCTTGTTCATAATTTCAGACTGAAAGCTCTTGTTTGACCCCTGCCGTGAATTCCTATATGATCCATGCCATCCATCAACACATATAACACTCACAACACTCACACTGAGGTCCACTAATAATTTGAAAACCCCAACAAGGCAAATATCCCTCTGCCTTTCCCTCCCAAGAAGCTCTGGGGCAGGAGTAGCGACTTTGACCTGTTACCTACCTAGGTCCGGAGCCCGGGGCCCACTCTCAGCCATGGAACTCTCCAGCTCAAGGCAATCGTTGCCCGAAAAAGACAACGATTCGGTGGGTGCACCGAGAGGTCGCTCGTGATTCCCGGTCAAGGCACAAGCCCCGGTTTCGGGCTCGGTCCCCGGTAGGGGGCGTGCAGGAGGCGTCCCATCGATGATCAGCTCTCACATCGATGTTTCTTTCTCCCTTCCTCTCGCTCTAAAAAAATCAATAAAAAAATATTTTAAATAAAAAACCCCAAATGAACCACCGT